ACAATAGAAGAACACAGTCTGCTGAACATAATACTACACAAACATTAGATGTTGCCATGGTTTAATTGCACATAACATGTAAAACATTCACAGTGCAGGGAGGAAAAAGTATGTGAGGCCCCAGCTTAATGACTTCTCCCAGAGCTATTTGGAGCCAGGAGTGAGCCAACCTTGACTCCAATCAGTGTGATGATATTGGATGTGTTGCTGACAGCTGTCCTGCCCTTAAAAAACACACACCTGTTTTGGGTTTACTGGTTTCAAGAAGCACTGTCTGATGTGAACCATGCCTCGCAGAAAAGAGCTCTCAGCAGACCTACGATCAAGAATTGTTGACTTGCATGAAGCTGGAAAGGGTTACAAAAGTATCTCCAAAAGCCTTGATGTTCATGTGTCCACGGTAAGACAGCTACTGTCTAAAAATGGAGAAAGTTTAGCACTGTTGCTACTACTCTCCCTAGGCGTGGTTGTCCTGTAAAAATGACTGCTAGAGCACAGTGCAGAATGCTGCATAAAACAAAATGAGGTAAAGAAGAATCCCAGAGTGTCAGCTAAAGACCTTCAGAAATCTCTGCACATGCTAACATTTTTGTTGACACATCTACAATAAGGAAAAACATTAAACAAGAATGGAGTACATGGGAGGACCCCTTGGAGGAAGCCATTTGCTGGCCAAAAAGAATATTGCAGCAAATGTTTGCTTTGCAAAAGAGCACCTGGATGTTCCACAGCACTACTGGCAAAACATACTGTTGACAGATGAAACCAAAGATTGAGTTGTTTGGGAAGAACACACAACACTATGTGTGGAGAAAAAAAAGGCACAGCAACACCAACATCAAAACCTCATCCCCACTGTAAAACATGGCGGAGGGAGCATCATGGTTTGGGGCTGCTTTGCTGCCTCAGGGCCTGGACGGATTGTTGTCATTGATGGGAAAATGAATTCCAGAGTTTATCAAGACATTTTGCAGGAAAATGTACGACCATCTGTCCGCCAACTGAAGCTCCGCAGAGGATGGGTGATGCAACAGGACAATGACCCAAAGCATACAAGTAATTCAACAAAACAATGGCTGCAACAGCACAGAATACGCCTTCTGGGGTGGCCCAGTCAGAGTCCTGACCTCAACCCGATTGAAATGCTGTGGCATGACCTTAAGAGAGCGATTCACACAGACATCCCAAGAATATTACTACACTGAAACAGTTTTGTGAAGAGGAGTGGTCCAAAATGACTCCAGATCGTTTGCAGGTCTGATCTGCAACTACAGGAAACGTTTGGTTGAGGTTATTGCTGCCAAAGGAGGGTCAACCAGTTATTAAGTCCAAAGGTTCACATACTTTTTCCTCCCTGCACTGTGAATGTTTACTGTTATGTGCAATGGGGTAATGGCAACATCTAATGTTTGTGTAGTATTATGTTCAGCAGACTGTGTTCTTCTATTGTTGTGACTTAGATGACGTTCAGAGCACATTTTATGCCCAATTCATGCAAAAATGATCCACGTAATCCCAAGGGGTTCACATACTTTTTCTTTCAACTGTATAGTGGGAGAGGTATACCCTTTGTGGGTTGGCATAGATACATAGGTACACGTGCTTGTATGCATGCCTGACAATGTCGGGGCATGCTCCAAATGGGACCACGGATGGTGTCCTGGGGGATTTCCTCCAAGATCTGGACCAGGGCATTACTGAGCTCCTGGACAGTCTGAGGCGCAACCTGACAGCATTGAATAGACCAAAACATGATATCCCAGAGGTGTTCTATTGGATTTATGTCAGGCCAGTGTGGGGGCCATTTATTGGTATCAATTCCTTCATCCTCCAGGCACTGCGTGTATACTCTCACCACATGATGCCGGGCATTGTCATGCACCAGGAGGTAACCCAGGACCCACTGCACCAGCGTAGGGTCTGACAATGGGTCCAAGAATTTCACCCTGCTTTTTTTGAGCAGTGTAGTCACTTGCAAAGTACCTCTCCTACTGTATACTATGTGCCATCCAGTGTCCTAATAAATTATATGTACCTCTGCCACCCCACAAAGGGTATAGTCCTCCCATTGTACACTATGTACCTTCCAGTGCCATAACAAATTAGACTCCCTACTACACCCTGCAGAGAGAGCACTCCCAGCACAGAAACGAAACTGTCACCAGCAGCTCCAGGTCTTGCATTAATGTTCCGGAGCCAGAACGACTGGCTCTTTATCACATGATTGCTGTGATGACCTGTGATTGGCTATCAATGTTATCAGTCCCAGAACAATCTCCCCTGGAACGGACAAAAAGATACAATGTATTTTTTTCCTTGGTAGAGGAGAAAATAAATGAATAAAATAAAGATAAAATATCTAGATCAGGGTTTGATCTTGATCAGGGTCAGGGTCAAGAGGTTAGAGTCAAAGGTCATGTTCAGGGTCAAAGGTTATTTTTCAATTCAGCATCAGTGTCAGCTAGTACCGGTGTGTTTTTAGGGAGGATAAAAAAAGGAAAATGCACACTATTGTTTCTGGGCCCTACTACAAGTACAAACAATAAATAATATATACATACTGTATGTGGTATCATAGGAGAATTTATTTTGGGTTGTTCTTTGGTGGTAGGTTATGGTTAGAGATGAGCAAATCGAACTAGGCAAAGTGGAATTCGTTTCGAATATTAGGAAAATTTTGATTCGCGACGAATCCGAAAAATTAGCATACTTCGGATGCGTGAATCGAAATTTTTCCTAAAATGGCGGCAACATGTGCGGCGACGGAGCGGGGATGTCTGGGAAGGCGCGCAGACAAGGCGCGCTGACCCATAATGCATTCATTCATGACATGTGATCGCATTAGCCAATCAGCAGCCAGCACTGTGTAATGGTCGAGCTATAAATGGCGGCCATTTTAGAATTCTCCATTTGCCTCCAGTCATTCAACAGAGGCAGACCTGGCTGTATTGAGGGAGAGAGTTAGGGACACAGAAACGTTACTTAGGGACACAGAAACGTTAGTTAGGGCCACAGAAACGTTACTTAGGGGCCACAGAATCGTTACTTAGGGCCACAGAAACGTTACTTAGGGCCACAGAATTGTTACTTAGGGACAGACACAGAATTGTTACTGAGGGACACAGAATTGTTACTGAGGGCCACAGAAACCGTTACTTAGGGCCACAGAATCGTTACTTAGGGCCACAGAAACGTTACTTAGGGTCACAGAATTGTTACTTAGGGACAGACACAGAATTGTTACTGAGGGACACAGAATTGTTACTGAGGGCCACAGAATCGTTACTTAGGGCCACAGAAACGTTACTTAGGGCCACAGAATCGTTACTTAGGGCCACAGAAACGTTACTTAGGGCCACAGAAACGTTACTTAGGGCCACAGAATTGTTACTTAGGGACAGACACAGAATTGTTACTGAGGGACACAGAATTGTTACTGAGGGACACAGAATTGTTACTGAGGGCCACAGAACCGTTACTTAGGGCCACAGAATCGTTACTTAGGGCCACAGAAATGTTACTTAGGGTCACAGAATTGTTACTTAGGGACAGACACAGAATTGTTACTGAGGGACACAGAATTGTTACTGAGGGCCACAGAACCGTTACTTAGGGCCACAGAACCGTTACTTAGGGCCACAGAAACGTTACTTAGGGACACAGAGTTGTTACTCAGGGACAGACACAGAATTGTTACTGAGGGACACAGAATTGATACTGAGGGACACAGAACCGTTACTTAGGGCCACAGAAACGTTACTTAGGGACACAGAATTGTTACTCAGGGACAGACACAGAATTGTTACTGAGGGACACAGAACAGAATTGTTACTGAGGGACACAGAACCGTTACTTAGGGCCACAGAAACGTTACTTAGGGCCACAGAAAACGTTACTTAGGGCTACAGAAAATTTTGTTACTTAGGGCCACAGAATCGTTACTTAGGGCCACAGAAACGTTACTTAGGGCCACAGAAACGTTACTTAGGGCCACAGAATTGTTACTTAGGGACAGACACAGAATTGTTACTGAGGGACACAGAATTGTTACTGAGGGACACAGAAACCGTTACTTAGGGCCACAGAAACGTTACTTAGGGCCACAGAAACGTTACTTAGGGCCACAGAAACGTTACTTAGGGCCACAGAAACGTTACTTATGGACACAGAATTGTTACTCAGGGACAGACACAGAATTGTTACTGAGGGACACAGAATTGTTACTGAGGGACACAGAACCGTTACTTAGGGCCACAGAAACGTTACTTAGGGACACAGAATTGTTACTGAGGGACACAGAATTGTTACTGAGGGACACAGAATTGTTACTGAGGGACACAGAATTGTTACTCAGGGACAGACACAGAATTGTTACTCAGGGACAGACACAGAATTGTTACTGAGGGACACAGAATTGTTACTGAGGGACACAGAATTGTTTCTCAGGGACAGACACAGAATTGTTACTCAGGGACAGACACAGAATTGTTACTGAGGGACACAGAATTGTTACTCAGGGACAGGACACAGAATTGTTACTCAGGGACAGACACAGAATTGTTACTCAGGGACACAGAACCGTTACTTAGGGCCACAGAATTGTTACTTAGGGACACAGAATTGTTACTCAGGGACAGTCACAGAATTGTTACTCAGGGACAGACACAGAATTGTTACTGAGGGACACAGAATTGTTACTGAGGGACACAGAATTGTTACTGAGGACACAGAATTGTTACTCAGGGACACACAGAATTGTTACTGAGGGACACAGAATTGTTACTGAGGGACACAGAATTGTTACTCAGGGACACAGAATTGTTACTGAGGGACACAGAATTGTTTCTCAGGGACAGACACAGAAATTGTTACTCAGGGACAGACACAGAATTGTTACTGAGGGACACAGAATTGTTACTGAGGGACACAGAATTGTTACTGAGGGACACAGAATTGTTACTCAGGGACAGACACAGAATTGTTACTCAGGGACAGACACAGAATTGTTACTCAGGGACACAGAATTGTTACTGAGGGACACAGAATTGTTACTGAGGGACACAGAATTGTTACTCAGGGACACAGAATTGTTACTGAGGTACACAGATTGTTACTGAGGGGACACAGAATTGTTACTCAGGGACACAGAATTGTTACTGAGGGACACAGAATTGTTACTCAGGGACACAGAATTGTTACTGAGGGACACAGAATTGTTTACTGAGGGACACAGAATTGTTACTCAGGGAGACAGAATTGTTACTCAGGGACACAGAATTGTTACTCAGGGACACAGAATTGTTACTGAGGGACACAGAATTGTTACTCAGGGACACAGAATTGTTATCTCAGGGACAGACACAGAATTGTTACTCAGGGACACAGAATTGTTACTCAGGGACACAGAATCGTTTAATTAAAGAGTATGTCAGACAACATGCAGAGGAGTGGCAGAGGAGGCAATGTTTTTAGGAACAGCGAGCAGGCGTGGCAGCAGAGGAAGGGGTCGAGGCAGCACTAGTCGCAGCCAGAGGCCATTGCTCCCGGTGTCATCCAGCGGTCGTGTCTCCACCGACAACCCTGCCGTCATCGATTGGTTGGCTCGGTCGTCTTCCTCTTCCCAGGTCACCTCTGACACCTACAGCCAACGGTCGGTGGGTACGTCAGACACAACCGTTAGTTGGCATGGCCCGGGAGCAAGCCACTGAAATCACGTGTCCTCGACCTGCCCCTGTCCTTTGGATGTTTCCCTCACCAAGCGAGTAGTATCGCATGCTGTGGGTCTCAGCCCCACTGTACAGTGAGGAAGAGCTAACAGAGGGCGGTCAGGAAACGGGGGGAGACATCCGCCTCTTCAGCAGCCAGGCGATAAGAAGTAGTGGCGAGGAGAGTGGCTCGGTAGCCGGTCTAGAGGACAGGTCATGTCTCCTGACCCACACGCAGCCGAGGGGGCTAGTAGTGAGGCATAGGAGGAGACCCTAATTGATGATTGATGAGGCTGATCGCACTTGGCAGCCTCGTTCGTCATCAGGCTATTGCTTCCGCATCATCAGGAGAAGAGGGTGGCAGCTTGCAGCGAGCAAAACAGTCGGTGGGTTGCCCAGGAGGGCAGCAGGGTCGCAGCAGTGTCAGTGGAGGCAAACAGGCCACGGAGTAGGCACCAGCTCCACTGCAGCCTACCACACCACGGCCAGTAGTGGTGCCGGTCGTGCAACTGTGCAGGAGGAAGTAGCCAGTCAGTCCAGTGAGGACGTATCGGGGGCAAAGTGTTTCATACTCGGCGGTGTCTCCTGGTTGGACAATTTTTCGTCCAAGCCGCTCCCCGAGGAAGTAAACTGTGAGCGCGGTATGTCGACTATTTGTGGCCAGAAAGTCAAGCGTGGCCAGGGGGCCCATGTTTGGGGACTCAGCGATCCGCAAAATGTGCCGTGAAATCTGCAGCATATGCAGGCACCCCCCTCACACCCCCGGTCGCCCATTTGCGGCGGAACGGCTCTGGGGAAACTCACCGTGATAAAAGATACCGGCGGTTCATGCATGCCCCATGCCCACCGCTCCCATCACCCGCTCCCGTTCTCTTGGCTCTCCGTTTATACCCGATCGTCAATCGCCTCGCCGTCTATCATGCCCAGCGAGTCAAGGCTCCAACACCTCTGCTGAGGGGGAGTTGTCGCTCTCGTTGGCATCTTCCGCTCGTTCAGATGGCTCTCTTCTCCTGCTACTCCTCTTCACGGATTCCGTCAGCAGTCTTTCTTGGAATACCGTTTTCCAAGAGACCAACAGTTGCGAGCAAGCACCCGACGGTGCAAAAGCCTGAACGTCCCCCTGTCCAAGTTGCTTGCGTGCTGCAGTCCCTCCCTTTCCAAGTGGGGGACTCAGCACCTTTCAGAGAAATGATGGCTTGTGCGCGCCGCGAGTGGAGAGTGCCAAGCCGTCATTTCTT